GCTGAGAAGGGGCAGGTGACCACGTGTTCATAACACCTTCCATTCATAACACCAGTAACCGTATTCAGATCTGGACCCCAACACTCTTCGTCTAGGCAAACCCCATCCTGATTTTCTCTCCTATGGTTCCCCGTCTCCCACCTTAGGGTAGCAGGTTCTCACTTGTCTCCTCAGTGATCACGCAGAGAGCGAATCTTAGGGTTTCCCCACAGACCAGAAAGACTGATGGAATATTGTGGAGAAGGATGGGACAGATGATATTTTAGGGCCCAGCTTGGCCTGTAGAGAGGAAGGTGAGGTGTAACCTCATCCTATTCATCCTCCATCACCCTGGTCAAAAGTGCAGCACAGGTGAGAACCAGCTAGAGGCACAAGGAGGGTGTATGACGTGCAGTTAAGAGGCCAGGGGTGCTGAGACCAGTGTCTGGCCAATGTCTAACTCAGATGGAGACAAAACACAGAACTCGCAAAAGGCATGAAATTGCTCAAAACATGGAGGAATCAAGTCAAGAGTGTTAGAGGAAGAGACTCACCTAGGATGCTCAACTGGGTTCCTCTGCCGAACACCAAACCCTGTGGCACAGCCTCTTACAAAAACCCTCCGTATGATGCTCAGTTCCCCTCTTCCCCAAACAAGCCAGCCCACCTGCAGCTGTGTGTGATGAAACGGGTCAATAAGGAGGAGCAGTCCCTGGAGACCACATTGTGTTTGGTAAAGTGGAGGGTTGAAGACACTTCCCACCATGTCAACAAGCTGGATGGGCACGGTGGCTCCCACAGCAGGTTCAGACCTGACTTGTGAGAATGACGAGGACCGGGAGGAGTGTCCTGTCTGCTGCAGAGCGTCTCTGTGAGCTGCAGAGACAGCACGTCTCCTACAGAGAACACCTGGTTGTGTTTCCAGAGGTGACTGGATGAAGGTCCATGGACTAAGGCAGAGTGCCTCTCTGTTTAGTTGAAGAAATGCTGTGTCTTGATGAGACATCGCATGTGGGCAGAGGGAGAATCCCAATAATGTCAGCACGGGCAGGTTGCCCTGGATTGCAGTGGCCAATGGAAGCTTCCAACTTTTCAAACCGATTGTGGCTTATCAGTGGTATTTCTCTTGGTGTGTCTCCTCAATGGGGTAGGGCGCAGCTGGCCATGTGTGCTGTAGGAGATCACATCCTCACTCCTTCCAGGAGACCTGGGCATATTTCTTTTCACCATACAGGCTACGGTATGTTTTCATTTCCCAGTTGATATGATACTATCTTGCTTAAAGAGAGATGAGAGTTAGACCCTGATTATAGCCTCCACACACCACGCCAGTATGTGGTCTTTGGACAGTGAGGGGAAGTTGTTGGCTCCAGGACAGAAGCAGACAAGGTCTGAGATGAGCCTGGAGCATCCTATCACACTATGGAGTAGGAAATCACCGAGTTCTTCCGGAGCTTCAGGAGGACCCAGGAGACACACGAAGCGGGTCCCAGTCTCCAAATGTGAGGTATTCGCCTCATTATTAAAATACAACTTTAGGCTAATAAGGAGCCTTGGTGGTGCGGTGGGGTAAAGGTTGGGCGGCTAACCAAAAGGTTGGGGGTTCAAATTCTCCAGCTGCTCTGCAGGAGAAAGACAAAGCAGTCTGCTCCCTCAAAGATGGACAGGACTGGTCATCCTGTGGGGCAGCTCTACCCTGTCCCCTGTTGCTGCGATGTCAAGCTTGTTCCGACGTATAGCCACAGAACTAAACACCACCCAGTCCTGCCCCATCCTCACAAGTGTTCTTCTGCTTGAGCCCGTTGTTTGCAGCCACGGCGTCAAATCATCTTGTAGAGCGTCTTCTTGTTTAGCTGCCCCTCTCCTTTACCAAGCTTGATGTCCCTCTGCAGGGACTGGTCTCTCCTGACAACATGTCAGAAGTATGTGAGACCACGTCTCACCATCTTTGCCTCTCAGGAGCACTCTGGCTCTACTTCTGTCCAGTTAGATTTGTTTGTTCTTTTGGCAGTCCGCGGGAGTTTCAATAGTCTTCACCAGCACCATAGTTGAAATGCATTGATTCTTTTTCGAACTTCTTTATTCAACGTTTGACTTTCACAAGCATAGGAGGCGATTGGAGCTACCAGGGCTTGGGTCAGGCGCACCTTAGTTTTCAAAATTACATCCTGGAGGGTTCCTGTGAATCAGAATGGTCTTGACAGTGGAGGGTTCATCCAGGTAGGTCCATGAGACAGAATAGGCTGTTTAGAAACGATCCCTGTGCTGGTAAGTGTGGCTGAGGTGGTGTTCATGCACAGAGACCCTGTGTACAACACAGTGAAACCCTGCTTGGTCCTGTGCCATCTCACAATGGTTAGCTCTGAGCACCTTGCTGAAGTTCAGAAAGAAAGCCACACAAACAAAGGAAACTATTCTTTGACAAAGGCGTAAGTCAATTCCATGGAGAAAGGAGGGCTGCAATAACTGGCCATTCACACACACACACACACACACACACACACACACACACACACAGGAATCTGAACACAGATCTTAGACATTGCACACAAAGCAACTCAAATGGTGCCCCAGCAGTCAGGTTAGATGAAATCCTAAAGATGTTCTAGGAGATGATGTAGGGGCCGATGTAGGTGATGCGGCAGTTGAGAGGGAGTTGAAAGGATGCTCAAGAAATCCTTACCGAATTGCAAATCAAAACAATCCTCTGGTACCACGACACAAGGATTACACTTTCTCTACCGCGGCACTTGTGTGCCTTACTTAGCTACGGTACTTTCTGAGATTGAGAGATGAGTGCACATGCACAATTCTCCAGCTCTTTCCGACGCTCCCACGGGGTGGGGCACCCATGGGCTGTTTTAAGGTCAATGGTGCCCATCCGGGTCTCTTGATGAAACCAATCCATCGAATCTCGTCTTGTGCTCAGAGCCCAGGCTCCAGGGACTTCTCCCTTTCCTGGCCTGTGGCCAGCCCACTTCCGGGGACTGGAACGTCCCCACTTTGTCCCTGATAGGATCCTCGGGGTCTGCCCCTTCAGTTGGCCCTTGCCTCAGTCCGTTTCCTCCCCGGATGGTCATGGATGGTATTTTAGGGTGGCACTGGCCGAGACCATGCTAATCATGCTAGACTCCCCCGTCTGTTGGGAGAGAACACGGGACATATGGCTTCTACAGAGGGACTCCTTGAGGGGATACCCTCCCTAGAGATGCAACTAGACACCGACTGACACTGGACACGCTGAATGGTAAATGTCAGGTCTTTATTTTAGAGACGTGTGGGGTCCCTTCAGGTCGGAGCGGATGAGGCGGGGTGGTGGGTTCAGGGATACAGTGGAGCGTTGGGGGAAGGGGTGTGTGGATGAGGGAATCCCTTTTCAGAGGCCAGTCCCTCTGGGCCCTCCTGGGTGGCGGGGTGGGGGGGATATCAGGCCCGAAGCGCACTCTGCGGGGGCCACCTTCTTCTCGTACGTCTTCCCCTGGTGCGTGGCCTGGCAGGTGTATTCGGAGTGAGAGCTCCACTGGGCGGCCGTGCGGGCCAGGTAGCTGCTGACGGCATACTTGTTGTTGCTCTGCTTGGAGGGCTGGGTGGTCTCCACGCCCTGGGTGGTAGGTTGGCCATCTTCCTTCCAGGTGACTGTCACCTCAGGTGGGCAGAAGTCATGGATGAGACACACCAGCGTGGCCTGGTTGGTTTGGAGCTCCTCAGAGGATGGCGGGAACAGAGACACTCTAGGGGCCGCCGTGGGCTGACCTAGTGTACAGAGGCAGCGATGTGAGGCTCAGGAATGATTCTGAGTTTTGGGGTGCACCTGCCACCACCCCCCATCATTGCTCTGGGATGCTCACAGGGGCACTATGCTTATTTCTCCCATTTCGGTCCCTCTGAGACCCCCTTCTAGAAGCCCTCTTGAAGTGTTCTTCCTCCAGGTGTCTGTTCAGGTGCATTTCTTTGTTGACCTCAGTTTTCCAAGTAATCAGGGAAACTGTACCCTTCCGTCTGCAGTCTGAGTTTGGGGTCTGGTACCCCGAGCTCCAGTCCCGGGCCAGGGGGCTGCAGGAATGCCACTGCCCTTTCTACACCTTCCCTGAAAATGGTTGCCTTCCTCCCTGCACTTTTGAGGTGCCTTGCAATCTAGGGTTCCTTTCAGGCTAGTGGGACCTCCTGATGGTGTGTGCAGAAACCCTAAGTCTCCATTCGAGAGGGCTTATGTCTCCCGGGAGGGCCCAGCTCTACCCCAACCAGGTGGTTCCCTCAACTATCGAGGGGAACCACGTGAGAGAGTCTGGGCCACCTCCTGCCCCCCAAGGGCTCCTCTAGGTTTTGGCTTTGCCCACCCCCACTTGCCCCCACTGGCCTGGCCACAGGACCCTTCACTTGAAATAGTTTTCTCTGGGGGATGACTCACTCACCAACTAAAAAAAACACAAACACCCCACCTCAAAAGCCGGTCAAAAAGCCCTGGTTTACTAGAGAGTGAGAAGCTCATTGGGATCTTCCTTCTCCCTCCACCAATTCATTCCAAGGTAGATACAAACCCACTGTGCAGGAGAGAGCTTGCCTCAGAGGCCAAGGGGTTCGAGGACAGGGTGACTCTGCCAAGGAGCACCCATGATTCTGAGCTTCCAGTCCCCACAGACCAGCCAAGCCCTGAAAGCTTTAGCCTAGAAGGAAGGGAGCCAGTGTCCTTACCCTCTGTCTGCCTCTTCTTGGGCTGACCTCTGACAGGCCCAAGGTCCCTGTGAGCCTCCTTCCCCCTCAACCCAGACCCAAAGGCTCATCATAACTGTCTATAGGTCACCGAGTGCCTGGTCGGACGAGCCTCTGATTCCCACGTGGGAGTGGGACAGGAGTGCCCATTCCCGGGGCCATGCTGCCCAACCCAGGCTCTGGGGTGGCCCTGGCTGCCAGACTCTGTGGGAGCTTTTCCTGCTATCAAGGAACCTACTGGAAACCCCGAGAACAACCCAACCCCCCAGGTTCCCCAGAGAAAAGTGAAGGTCAAGGTCCTTAAGTCTGGAGAGAGTAGGGCCAAAAAAGACCGTGAGAGCGAAAAACCGACTTTCTGGAGAGGGCCGAAGAGGTGGGAAAGGTCGTGAAAGCCACTTACCTTTGACCATGATCTTGGTCCCGCTGCCGAACACATACCATGGTGACTGAGACTCAGACCCAAAACTGCGGGGCCAGCACCTGGGGCCTGCCCTCCCGGGGCGGGGCCAGAGTGGGAACCTGCTGAGTATGACAGGTGCAGACTGCAGGTGGGGCCAGGTGAGGACAACCCCTCCCCAGACCATCTGTCCATTCCTGACCTTTCCCCCCGCCCAATCTCCGTCCCTTATGGGTGGTGTCTGTCCAGTCACCATAACATTTTAGTGTGGACAATGACACGTCACACACCTGATGGGCTATTTCTCTCAGGTAGCAGCATGCCTGAGAGTTAGGTCTGAGTTGACTTGGTCCTCCACCTCTCTTGGCCTCATTTAATGGTCAGTGAATCTTTCTCCCACCGCAAGCTTCCACATCCCAGCCAGGATGGCTTCCTCTCCTGCCTTGTGGACACTGCATTGTTCCTGAATCATGGAATGCTCATGTGCAGACCCCTCTGCTATGGTCCACATCAAGACTCAGCTCCATCCCACTTTCCGTCTGTCCGTCAGTCCATCCACCCACCCATCTAACAATAACTTCTTCTTCTTTATTTAAAATCATTTTATTGGGGGCTCTTACAACTCTTGTTACAAACCATACACCAATTGTATCTGACATATTCGCACATATAGTCCATCATTCTTTTCTAGACATTTACTTTCCATTGAGCCCTTGGGATCAGCTCCTCTTTTTTCTCTCCCTCCTCCCCTCCCCCAACCCTCATGGTCCTTTGATAGAGTGTAGATTATTAATTACTTTCAAATCTCACACCGACCGCTGTCTCCCTTTCCCTCTGGTTTCTATTGTTCTTCCCCCTGGGTGAAGGTGTGTGGTTATGTGCCATTCATTGCGATTAGTGAGCACCCATCTGTTGCAGGCCCTACTTCAAGTGGTGGGGCATGATGGGGCTCCTCCTAACTCTCTCCTCCATTTCCCCCTGAAACCTCTTAAGTCAAGTCCAACGAGGCCCTCTCCGTCGCCAGCTGAGGCTCCTCCGCGTCTCTGTGTAGCTGAGTTCTCCGTAGGATGCAGCCCTGCAGACAGCCACTCATTCCACAGACTCTTCTTGATATCGGAGACACCCAACTCCTTCTATGTTGACTTCCCTTTCTTTCATCCCGTTTTGACCTTTATACCACCACCATAGACCCTGCTCTCTTGTCTCTTTCCTGTTCTCCAAGTATCTGACTTACACCACACCGTGTTAGGAGTTTCCAAGGTGTATTGAGTCCTGAATTCCATCCTGCCCTCCCTGCTTGGCTCCATAGTGACCCATCTCTGCTGGAAAGCTCCACAGCATCCCCGACCCAATGGGCCTAAACTAAGCTCATCACATATCCCTGTCAACTTGGCCTCCACCCCACCATTTGTGTCTTCATGCCACTCCAATTCTGGAGTCATCCTAGAATGCTTCGCCTTCCTCGGGTCACCTTCTGTGCCCTAGACATTCTACGACAGTATAAAAGGCCATACGGTGATTAGAAAAAGAAACACAAATTACATCCCAAGGGTTTATGACATCAACAGCCCTCGCCATTTGTAATCAGATTTCATCTCCCACTGTGGGAGATGGGCTCAAACCTTACGGAGATCACGAAGGTAGTGCAGGATTGGGCAATGCTTTGTTCTGTTGTACTTAAGCTCGAACAGAATCAACATCAGCTAACAACACCATTAGCAGCTGCCCCCCAAATACAAACAACACTCCAAATGGTGGCCCAGCAGTCGATTTTCCACATGGGAGATTACTGGGTGGATTCCCAGACAATTCACCTCACATGCAGCCCACCCTCGCCTGTCAGTGGAGACTTGCTTGTTGTTGTGATGCTAAACAGGTTTCCATGGAGCTTTAAGACTAAGAAGGACTAAAGAGGAAAATCTTGGCAATCTCCTTCCGAAAATCAGGCAGTGAAAACCCCGCGCATCACCACCAGCTGATCCTAGGATGATGTTACCATGAGTTGGGGGTTGACTTGATACCATGAGTTGAGAGTTAACAACAGCTCATTCCCATCAGAAGATAACCCATCACATTGAGACCAGCGCTTTCCACAGGACCATTTGTCTGTGGTTGTATTTTTGATCAAAGAAGCCCTCATCAAGCAGTGGGTTAGGTGTTGGGCTGTTAACCAGAAAGGCAGCAGTCTGAAACCAGCAGCTCTTCCAACGGAGCAAGATAAGACCGTTTGCTTCCATAAAGATTAGCCGCCTTGGTGGCTCAGTGGGCTTTCTACTCGTAGCAGTAGGAAACAACGAACTGTGGTGGGGTTGTTGCTTTGGGCATTTATGACACACACATAGGAATTTCAAAACAATATTTAATATGGCTGAACACACTCACTTCTGTATTAAAGGAAGCAAACATCCAGGTATTAAGAAGCTAATAGTTGAAGGCAATTTCCTTCATAGATGGGGCTTTCTACTCTGGTGAAGAGTTACAGTTTTGGAAACTCACAGGCGGCAGTTTGACCCTGTCCTTTGGGGCTCGCTGTCAGTTGGCATCAACTCGATGGCAATCAGTTTGGTTTGGGTTGGTTTTCCTTCATACAACATGCCCCAGAAACTTACATCAAGCCTTATGCTTAAACGTCAACCATTTAAGGGCCAGAAACACAGCAAAGCTACCTACTCTCCCTTTTATTATGCAACAAATACTGGATATTCTAGTTGGTGAAGTGTGATGAAGAGGAAAAGGGTTGAACTAGTTGGGGAAAAAGAGAGAAAACTGTTCTTGGTAGATGATGTGGTAGGGAGCTACCATTAAGAGAGTGACCCAAGGAAGTATAAGAATTAAAACAAGAATTCAATAAAGTGACTAGATACAAAAGCAATATACAAGTCAATAGCTTTTTCTTCTACACCAGCAACAATCATTTGGAACATGATATTAGGGGTATCCACAACTCACATAAAATTATGTTAAAAAACTTTAGGAATAAATTAATACTATGAAAAAAGGTGAAGATTTACAATAACAGGAAGTAACCTGACTAATTTGAGGGAATGGAGGAGTACGCGATGTTCCTGGATAGGAATGCGGAGCATAGTAAAGATGTCGGTTCTTGGAGAATTAACTTACCTATTCCATGAAATCACAAATGCAACACCAAAAATTATTTTTGAAAATGTGAATTAAACAAAGTCCAGCAATAATAATAATAAAAAACGGCATGGAATAAACCAGAATACTTTGCAAAAGAGTAATAATCATGTTTTTTTTTCTTCCTGACCAGGTGTGAAAACGTAATTAAAACCATGTGGAATCAACACAGAAATGAATATGAGCATATCAACAAACTCGCAGAGAGAAGGATGAACAATAACTTAGTAGTTTTTAAAAGCTGTATCCATAAGCAACAAATGTGCACTCATTATCGCTCCACTTGGAAAATAAAGTTAGACCTTTACCTACACAAAAATAAACTTCAGGAGGATTTTAAAACCAACAACAACAAATGTACCAGAAAGAAAAATGGTTTTATAATACTGACACAAAGCATACCGTGGACCTCAATCACCATAAGGAAACCAGGACACCCAATCTGACACACAGATATTAAAATAACTTTACAGCAATAGATCCTACAAATAGAAGACATGAAACAGACCAGGGAAAAATGTCCGCAATGTATTAAATAGACAAGAGCTCAATATCCAAAGCGATTAAGGATTCCTAGAAATCCATCCCAATATATAAGCAACTGAACATAAAATAGGCAAACTGATGACCCGCTAATTCCCCAAAGAAGTAGAATTAACCAATAAAAATATAAAAGGCAACTAAGATTCACCGAGGATCAAACACTAAACATTGAAGTAACTAACACACATTCTATTTTTGGATCATCAAATAGTGAAATAAAACCAGATCAACAAAATCACATTATTGGTAAGGATGTAGGGGAACACACTGTTGTTGATTGCAGTGCGTGTAGATTGGAACAGACTTTTGGACAAGGATGCCACCCGTGGAACTTTCAAAAGCACACCCCTTTTGACTCAACGATTCCACTTTTGGGCATCCCTTCTGAGTTAGTTTATTGTGGCAACCTGGCCGATAAACACATGTGGGATTAATTGAAGGGTGGAGGGATAAATGGCTCGGTGAGCCTCATCTTTTGAGTTCTCGGGTCTCTTGCTTTGTGATGGTTGCACCAAGGTGCAGCTGCCTTAGCAGTTCCCTGCTTCACTTTGCAAGGCTGACTTCCTGCAAGACATCCCTGAGCAGAAACCACATGGAACTACCCCGATGCAGCCATGGGTGCTGGAGCACCAGTGTGGAGACCCCTGCCAGTGCTGAGATGCTTACACATTCACTGACTCGGCTTTCCTCCTGCAGTCGGGTTCATTGCGTCTGTTTTGTGAGATGGAGGAGGACTTTGTGGATTGGTGTTGGACATATGGGTTAATGGGTTAATGTTGGACTTGTGGGCTTGGACAGCACTGGGTTGGGATGTTTTCTTGATGTGCACTTACCCTTTATATAAAACTCACTCTTTACCTGAGTTTCTGTGCATTTGTTTCTCTAGAGTACCAAGACTAATACACCTTCTACAGCAGTTCATAAGAACACACTGTACACATACCCTGGACAGAGGAGTTTCCATTGCAGCGTCATTCTTTAATTGCTATTTTTAAAGTGGAAGCAACCCATGTGTCCATTAACAGGGAAACAGTTAAATCAACCCTGGGCCAGCTGAACTTTGAACTCTTATAAAGCCAGTGTGGGAATGTGGTAGCCTCATATGGAATGACATAGAAAGCGTTGATAAAATATTGTTTAAAAAGCTCGTTACAGGAGACTGCATAGAGTAAGTTTTTAAAAAAAATTGAATTAGTTCAACACTAGCTGCGTGTTGTGTGCATGTGTGTTCAGGGACACACACACACACACACACACACACACAGTAAAAGGCCTGGCTATGCATAGTCCAGTTGCCAACAGTCACCAACCTTGAGAAGATTTGACTGAAACTCAAAACTTGCGGCCATTGAGTCCATGCTGACTCATAGTGACTCTGTAGGACA